CGCATAGTAATAATTTATTGACTGTTCAGTGGTTAATATCAGCTTGAGATTTCGTATCAGATACGAAACAGAACTTAGTTTATTACAAGGACTCTTCCAGTTGATTTTAATTTTCAGTTGATTTTTATTTCAAGATTTGAACAGATTTTTTGCCTGTGATGAGACCGTACCAATAACGTTTTTGGAGAGTTGAAATGAAGTGACTTGACGGCACGCCATGAAACCAAATGATTTGACACCGTGTTACAATTTCCTTTCAAAATTGTGTCGTCTTTCTCCGAAATTAGAAGTGATGTGTCATCTGCTTACATAACGCACGTATTCTCAGCAACCGCGGCCCCAACATCATTATAGTATAATATAAATAATACCGGTCCCAACACTGATCCTTGAGGCACTCCAATGGTATTTGAAATACATTTATAATGACTGTTTTCAGATGTATGATTCACCGAAACAAATTGACTCCTGTTTCTGGTGAAAGACCCTATCCAGTCAAGAGCATTTCCTCTTATTCCATTTGAATATAAATTATTCAATAATATCGTTTGGTCGACGCAGTCGAAATATGGAAAACATCTTCGGATGTAACAAAAATAAACAGTTTTTCAATTCAGGGATTTTTAGAGAGGGCGTCTCTGCTAGGTTTTCAACCTGACTCAGGTAAAATTCTTTTGTACAGGGTGATTCAAAAGTAGTTTCACAAACTTCAGGAGGTGATTTCTCACAATATTCTAATATGAATCGTCCGAATAAATAAATGTCCAGAAACGCTTCGTTTCCAAGATACAGGATGTTGAAGTATTATTTTTATTTTCGTTTTTTTCAAATAACTTTTGAAATACTGAACTTAATTTCAAGAAACAGGTAGCTTTAAGAGGGCAGCTGATATTATTGGAAAACCACGAGCAGTCCAAAACACAGAATTGGAAGAAGCTGTTTTGAACGCTCTCGAGGAGAATCCAGAAACAAGCACAAAAGTAATTGCTGAAGCTGTTAATTCTACTCAGTCCATAGTTTGGAGAATTATCCACGATCAACAGTTTCATCCGTACCATATTCAAAGGGTACAAGCTCTTTTGCCACGAGACTTTCCCCAACGCATTACTATGTGTCAATAGTTTTTGAGAAAATTGGATGGAAATCCTCAATATTTGAGATATGTACTCTTCACGGACGAGGCAAACTTTTCCCGAAATGCTATCACAAAATTTCATAACAACCATGTTTGGGGTCTTGAAAATCCCCACGCAGTTAGTGAAAGGTATTATCAGTATCAATTTTCTGTAAATGTATGGGCGGCAATAATTGATAATTACTTGATAGGTCCTTTCTACATATTCAAAATTTCCTGAAATAAAATGTTGACATTTCATGACATTTTCATATATTTTCTATTCAATTTCTGGGATTGCCGCATGTTGGAAACCACTTCATCAAAAAATATGTTTTGTTAGCGATACTATTTTGTTAAAAAAAAGATCGTTTCAAATTTATCAAAAACGATATCTCCGCTAAAGTACTTTTGGAGTGATTCACCCTCAGTAAACCAATCGAAACGATTTAATGTCAAATTATTCAAAATATCATATACCAGCATAAAATATTGCTTTTGAAAGCATATGCAGAGAATTGCAATGATAACTTCAATATAACGGAAGGGAAATTGAAAAAAAAGTGGTATGTTTGTTTAAAGCTTCTTTTTATGTTAATATCGACTCTTGAAGGTTCAATCACACTGAAAATGTTGACTTTACCAATCGATTCAATAGCGTTTTTCACTCTGATAAAAATTATTGATATTTTCATCCCCGCAAAAGTTCTAGTTCGTGCAAGAGGGTGGATAGTCAAGAAAAAGAAAGCACTTCCAGAACTTTTACTCTATTTTGCAAATTTATTTTCGTAACAAAATGTTCCGTACACTGCCGGAATGTTAACTTCTGCGCGATGATAGGTCATCCCATACTGCAAGCTGTCGACAAGTTGTTCGTAGATTTTAGCTCCGGGTATCGAGACAAATTGCTGTGAAAAATTCGAGGCTGATGAGTTTGTAATATCTTTAGAAAAAGCATCAGATTCGATTTTGTTACAAGGTCAATCGAAATGAGATAGAGAGGTGAGTGTGGGACTGATGTGTACAAAGACGAGGTGTTCAACATTGGACATGTTTATAAGGGTTGCTAATTATACAGGCTGATTTGAATTAGGTATGTACCTTGCTGGTTTTCCGAGTTTTAAATCTTCCAAAATCTGAGAAAAAACTATGAACGAACATGACCAAACAGAAGAGAGAATCTGCTGAGGTGTAATAACGGGTAAACTCAAAAGTTCAGCACCAAATATTTATTCGTAATATGATCCACTGTAGAGGCCAACTATTCTGTAATGTTATTTTGGCGGTGATTGACTTGCAAGGTTTCTTTAATCTTTTAGGTGAATTGGGCACCAACTAATGAAAGTGTATATTTTGGTATGTTGTTGAAATATGGTGATATATGTGTTTTTCTCTAGTTATTAGTGATTTCGTCTGATTCAAAGTCAAATAAACCAGGAATCAAACTTTAACTATTTTCAATCTTCAATTTCAAAATTATATTAACAAGTCAATGTCATAACAAATTTTTCTTTTTCTTTTTTGTTAACATAAAAACAAGTGATAAATACTGATTAACCCAATTGAAACATTAAGACGCCATTAAGAGAGTCATAGTTACGACCGCACCGGGGGGCCTAAATCGCCTCTATGCATATATTGATTATTTTTCTTTTCTTTTTGCATGCATTGTATCAACTTGTTGATATCCTTCGTTTTTAGGCTTACGTAGGACTTTGTCCTCAGCCTTTATTTATATGTACCTATGTTATTACATACAGTGGTGTTATATAACGTGTAATATTATCATTCATTATAAGTTTAATGTATAAGTTTGAAAAGTTTCTCATAGGACGAAACTACAGTATCTATATCTGTAGAGTAGGGAGGATGAGTATAGGTCTACATTACTCAGGCCACATGTTACCCATTGTACACCCTCCCAAGAAGTTGTACTCCTAGGTCATCGTCCATCGTGTTCTTTCCAAGAAGGTGAACAGATCATAAGGAGACATCTCCTTTATATCGGACAGACATGTCTGACAGTTTCACATATTCTGCATAGCCCCATAATATGGAGGTGTTTCCTTAGTTGACAATGGCCAATCAGAAATCCTACTGTTAAGCGTAGATTTCACCTGGTATTCTTTGGCGCCAGCTTCCCAGGGTCACCCAGGGTGATCCCTTGTCGAATTCATCAGGCCATAGCTGTCACTGGGTCTTAAAATTCCTAGTCCAGCGGCTTCCTTGGCTAAAGAGAAGGCAATGCGATCACCTTTACTCCTGTCGTGCCCTTCAACCCACCTCAGGATAAAGTTATTATTCACCGAGTCTTTGGCTAAATCTTGGTGGTACTCTAGTACTAGCCCTGAGGTAACACGTTATCTGTTCAAGGCTGATAGGGTTTGTCTACTATCAGTGCAGATTGTTGTTTTTGCCAGAAATTCCTTTCCTGGTTTTTTTTTGTGGCGATTGAGATATCAGCCAGTTCTGTTTGAACCACGCTGTTATTTTTTCCCAATTCCCACTTAATCCTTAGGCTTAGTGATCAGAAGTAAACTCCAGATCGTGAGCCTCCTTTGGTTTCTGAGCCGAAACTTCAGTTATTTCAGTTGGAAATAAAAGTGGTGAAAAACATATAAATTTCCATTTCTGATTTCTCACGATGATCTTCTACTATCAATTTATTTAGGGAAAAACATCAGATCGTCAGATTTTTTTGAATCACCATGGTTAGATAAGCCTCGAAAGATTTTGATTCGTGATACATATCCACTATTTTCCTACCAGTTTTCAGTTTCTTTTAAATAACAACTCTATAACACTTCCAAATAGTTGAGCAGTGTATCTGAATTCAATTGACTGTGATGGAAAAATGCACCAAAAGTTACCAGTCAACAAATGATTTTACGATTTGTATAAAATTCCACAGTTGTATCTGCAGCAAACCCAACTAATAGAATGAATTTCATGTGCCCGAAGCATGATGTTGTTTTACTGCTATGAAGGGATTGCCTACATTACCAGCGTTGTGCAAAATGAACAGTACATATGAAAACATTGTTCAATATAAAACCTTTTGTTTCCACAAAATCTAAATAAGAATTGATTTCTAATTTAGGTTCAACAAAACAGATATAGTCTGTTTCAGTTTCACGCCGATTATAGAAACTGTTTTTTGTTTTTTATGCATACCAGGAAGTTTTTTGAATGTATTCTCAACCTATCATCCACTTTCAGTTATTTATTATTGTACTTCTTTTGGGTGCCTTGTGTTTTCGTTAATGTTTTTATTTTATTTAGATATTATTCAATTTCAAATGTTTGATTTATCACCTGACTTGCTACAAATGTTTTATACATATACATAGTCAAATAAACTNTGATGTTACAATGAAAACAGTTGAGGTTGTCTGGTCGACATTCATCTCATCTGTACACTAAGGGCCAGGTTCTTTGGCAAACTCATAGTCCATGAAGGCTCTCATGAGTAGCTAAGCAAAAAAGATTCAGCATAACAGATTTCCTCATTACAAGACGACTCTTAACTTCACGAAAGGGGTATTCTAACATCCTTGTTGCCGAAGACACCTACATGCTAGCAGAATCTTTCACTTAAAGAGTTATAGTTCGATAGTTCTGATAATTCTGAAACACTGTAATACGTTATTATTGTCATTTGTTTATTGTCTCAGTTATTGGAGAGGGATGGTATTATGAGAAAAATCAAATATGTGATATGGAACCAGAATGGAATAGCTTCATAATTTTCATATCAGTACTTTGATCTTAACTAGGTTCATTATGTTTGTTGACATTGATATTACTTACCTATCAGTGAATGAGTAATTTTCGATGAATAGAAGTGAGACTAATTTGAGAAGACTACATTTTCAATTTTTTATAGGTGGACACAGACCTAGTATTTGACAGTCTAGAACTAACAAATTCAAACCATCCTAGGATATTGCCACCAGAAGAAGATGAATACTGGCTCTCAAGTACTGTAAATAGAATAAAAAGGAGCATCAGTAATATATTCACGAAAGAAAATAAACATCCAGAGAAAGTAAACCATCCGCTCCACAAGAAAACCTCTGCTCATCAGGTTAAGAAAATACATCCGAAAAAATTGGGGAGCAAGAACCACAGAAGGAAACATAGGCAAACACAAGATGAATACGACGATGAGGGACAAGATGAAGGACAGGACGAATATGATGTAAGTTCAGGCTTAATGATAATTAGGTTAATTATTTCCGCATAATAGATATAAAGATGTAGGATATCCAGATCTCGATGCAAGTTCTTTTCATCCATAATTTTTATATATCTTTAACGATGAAAAAATGTGTAATTTGGATGCGTTACCTTTCACAGAAATTAAAGACACGTAAATTTTAGTTTTCTCATAACAAACCCCACGTCAATAATTTGAAATCGAAAAGTTGGTACGAGTATAGTGTTAAAGTTCCAAGAATTTTTTCACAACCGACGGGTAATTGTATTATTTCTGCTGTGGAAACGACGTGAACGAACAGACTATATCAATTTGACTCACATATTTCTGTGGGAGGCAACACTTTGAACTATTGTATTTGTTTCTTTGTTAAATTTTCCTACCTTTAACACTTCAATTTGATATTTGAAAATAGGTAGAACTGGGACCAGAGTATGCTAATCCAGACGTCAGCTACGTAAGTTATACACAAATGATTTGGAAAATTATCATTCGGTTTTCTCATTCACAACATCATGACAGTACGATTTGAACATGCATCTATTTGTGAAGTCTACAACTAACCCCAAATGAAATGATCGATAGTCATGTCACATATTTTCCTAGCCTTCCAGTTCCTATCTCACGACATATTTTTCATACTCAGCCTTTTTGTCAGATTTATAGGTTGAAATCGACAAATTTCGTCTGTGTTGTAATCATCAACATCAACAACAGTTAATGAAGATTATTATTATCAATGTTATCAAGCATTTTGGTACGTTTGATTTGGATGAATGCGTTGGGTTAGGTTGGGTTAGGTTAGGTCTGGAGTGAGTGTGTCTATTCGACCCTCCACCGCAACCCACAAGGGTTTATTGTGGCTCACACCTATTCACACTCGGCCAAATAAACCCAGCTTCTAAACGAAGCCGATTAGTTTGTATGGTGAGTGGTCTTTCAGGTCATATGGTAAGAGTACGGCTCTGCCGAACTCTGAAAACCTAATTCGGTCCCAAGCGGGGCAGGCACAGAGTATATGCCCTGCTGTTCCATCATTTTCCAAACAGAGGCAACACACACTGTCTTCCGACAGTCCAAATCTCTGCATATGATGATTCAAACGACAGTGACCTGTAAGAAGGCCTGTTAGACATCGTAGTTCATCACTACTGTAGTCCAACATCTGTTTGGTATCAAGCTTCGAAGGGTGAATAAACGCCTTGGAGTGAGCCAAACCTGGAAGATTCTGCCAGAAGTCCATAAATCTTCTTGTCATCCAGGTGTTCAAAGTTTGTTTGGCAAAGCCTAAAGCGATGCCAATGACAGGTTCTGGTTCGATGAAGCTGCTTGCAACACCCTCCTATGCAAGAAAGTCAGCAGCTTCGTTGCCTTCCAGGCTAGTATGGCCAGGAATCTAGACCAGACACAATCTGTTAAGTCTCCCTATCGAGGAGAGACGTTTTGGGCAATTTGCTGCCAATTTAGACGTTGCTCGGTAGGAGCCAAGAGCTACCAACGCCGCTTGACTGTCCGAGAATATTTCCATTGACTTGTGTGTGAGGTTGGATTTATCCAATCTCTCCGCACACAATTCAATAGCGTACATTCCCGCTTGAAATACAATCGCATAAATTCCTAGGCAGGTAGATATCTCTGTCCTGGGTCTGCGACTGAAAACACCAGCACCAGAACCGGAAGGTGTTTTTGATTCATCTGTGAACCAACAACTATCTGCTCTTAGTATTTCCTCCTCCCGGGGGATCCAGTCCTCTCTACTCGGGAACAGTACTCCATAAGGCAGTTCGTAGTTGACAGTTGAAGGCATAAAGTCAGAGGTCATTTCCAGAATTCTGTAAATTCCAGTGTCAACCAACAGTCTGTTGCACTTGCATTAAATTGATTTGTGCAGTCCGTGCAGTCTGTATGCAGGTAGATATAGAAGGATCTCCATGGCCGCTGATGGTGTGGTAATGATGGCACCATTGATAATCAGACAAGCCTATCTCTGTAAGCCACAGAGCTTCGCTTGGGCCGTTTTCTGTAAAGCTTTCGGCCACCAGGCAATTGCACCATAAAAACTATTGAGAACTCAAAAATTTTGAATTGATTTCAAGACATAAACTTCTTGAGTTAGGTACCGTTGATCAGCCATCAATTATTAATTTCGAAATTGCCAATTGAGTATCGTAAAGATTACCGAAAAAAAGGCTGATCTATACCAGCTGGTCTTGGTTATGATACAATCGGAATATATTCATCTATTCGCCTGATTCAAACATACTTTTCTCTGAATTCAATAATCAAATTCATAGCACTGTTGGCTATACTTGACCACTTGACATCTCAATATGCACGTGGGTACCGTTTATATATGGCAATCGAAGTTCTTCGAAGGAGATAGCTAGTTCACCAGAAGTCCATCAAAAGGACGCGAAAACCAGAACAAACGAGAAACGCCAGCCGGGATGGCCTCGTCACAATTGATTCACGATGGCCAGCGGCGGTCGACGTTTTCTTTTTTTATGGGATGACTCACAACAATATTTAAAAAATGTTTTCTAGTGTCATTTCGTTTATTTCTTTTTTAGCCGAAATTATCAATGAATTATGAAAATAATCACGTATATAATGTCACGAAATACATATATTTTCATTCCTCTGTACATATCCATTCATTTTGACTCCTGGATAAGTTTTTGCACGAACGCAATAAACAAGACTAGATTTTAAATTTATCATGTTACTTTTCCATTGTAAACTACTAATTTCTTGACTTCTCTTTATTCATTTTGTATTTCTGTTGTCCACTTGTGTTGAGCAAAATGGTATTTTTCTAAAGACATAAAATATATTTTGATATCACTGATGGGAAATTTCTCTCTCTCTCTCTCTATTTTAGATGGTCNAAATATCGAAACAATTATCTTGCAATTTTTGCTAACTATATTTTCAAAATATTCAATAGACGTTAAAGGTTTTCATTAAACGCGTTCTATTGTGATGGATGGATTATATGCAACTGAGAACAATCAGAAATCAAGAAATTTGTTACTCTGACATATTTTGATAAAAGAGATTTTTCGAGATTTTTCGAAAAAATAATGTGGAAGTGACATTCAGACTACATGTCAGGTTATCTAATTTCTTTTACAATGGCATAGATAAAGTTGACAAAATGAAGAAATCTGGAGTTTACAGGCTTGAGTGTCTGGAGTGTAGTAATGTGTATGTGGGATAATGTGGACGAAATTTTTCGAAACGATTTGAAAACACAAGTTTCCGAATCTAAACAAAACGAAAATTTTGCACTATGCAAACTTGGAAACTCAATTATTTGGAATCCCACATTGTTACAGGTGAACAGAATTCAGGTACTCAATAAAGTTGCCGATTCAAACCTTTTTCAACTCATCACTGAACCAACTAGATTTCGAATCAACGACGAGCCATCTGTTCTCAACTTCATTTCTACCAACGATGAAAACACCATCACAAATCATGAAATCCTACCACCTATTGGATTATCGGATCATGTAGTTTTCAAAATAATCGATTCTGATTAGTTAGCCGAGGAACTTTCTACCTTCGATTGGACACAACAGTTTAACGCATGTGATGACGTTGATATTCTCTGGGAAAAATTCTACTCGACCGTAACTGCCTCTGCTGTCAAGAACTCCCGCAACAAAATATGCCAGAAAAATCCTTCCAAACCATGGATCAATGCCGAAATAACGTCACTCATACATCACAAAAAAAGATTCTGGAAAAGATACAAAAGATCAAAAGCCACAGAAGATTACCTAGCTCATCGAAATTTCTCAAAACACTAGGTATCAACAATACAATCTTCACGTCGTGAGTTCGAAGATTCTATAGCAGACTCTGAAAACAATAAAAAACTGTACAAGTTCATACGATCTAACCTGAACACCAAAGTAAGCATTCCGCTCCTACGAAAACCTGACGGTTCCTTGTGTTCTACAGACATCGAATAAGCAGAGATTTTGGCCGATTATTTCACAAGCTCCTTCACGGTTGAACCTCGAGATGACCAATTACCAAAAATTATAGCAGAACGACTACGTGATGATATGACTAATGCGACGTTTACTTTGGAAAAAATTGAAAATCATTTATTGAACATTAAATCGAATTCATCTCTGGTTTGGATGGAATGAGCCCCTTTTTTCTTAAAAAGTGTGCCAAAACTCTCTGCTCTCCGTTGTCAATAATCATGTCAGTTTCTTTCGCAAAATCTCGCATCCCACGGCCGTGGAAGAAGGCATCTGGCACTGCTATTTTCAAAAAAGGCGATAAACTCGATCCAATTAACTACAGGCCCATTAGTCTTTTATCTGTACCTTCCAAAGTAATGGAATCCATCATCGTAGAAGATATCTCAGAATTTTCAACAAAAAACGCAATCATACCACCAAAACAACATGGTTTCGTCAAAGGTAGATCAACCATCAGCAATCTATTACAGTACATGCACGATTGGACGACAGCTTACAATAGGAAAATATATCGTTTATCTTGACTTTGCCAAGTCTTTCGACAGGGTCCCAGTGAGGAGGCTAATGCACAAACTTGACACACACGGTATTCGAGGCCAACTCAACCTATGGATTGAAAATTACATGACATATAAAACTTTCACGGTCAAAGTGGGTTACTCTTTTTCTTCGCACAGACAAGTCACAAGTGGAGTTCCCCAGGGATCTGTTTTTGGCCCGCTCCTCTTCGTTGTTTATGCAAGTGATCTTGCTCTTCACATAAAGTCCAGCAAGTCGTTCTATGCCGATGATACTATATTGTGATGGATGGATTATATGCAACTGAGAACAATCAGAAATCAAGAAATTTGTTACTCTGACATATTTTGACAAAAGAACAGTAATAACTGCGAGATTTTTCGAAAAAACAATGTGGAAATGACATTCAGACTACATGTCAGGTTGTCTAATTTCTTTTACAATGGCATAGATAAAGTTGACAAGATGAAGAAATCTGGAGTTTACAGGCTTGAGTGTCTGGAGTGTAATAATGTATATGTGGGATAATGTGGTCGAAATTTTTCGAAACGATTTGAAAACACAAGTTTCCGAATCTAAACAAAAATCTAAAAAAAATTTTGCACTATGCAAACTTGGAAACTCAATTATTTGGAATCCGACATTGTTACAGGTGAACAGAATTCAGGTACTCAATTAAGTTGCCGATTCAAACCTTTTTCAACTCATCACTGAACCAACTAGATTTTGAATCAACATGGAATAACTTACCCAACGATGTTATGAATTCCGACTCAGTGAGCAGTTTCAAAAACAAAATAGACATTTGCTTATTTGCTCAATCGCCTCTATGCATACATTGATTATTTTTCTTTTCTTTTTGCATGCATTGTATCAACTTGTTGATATCCTTCGTTTTTAGGCTTACATAGGACTTTGTCCTCAGCCTTTATTTATATGTACTGATAATAATAAAAAAATTGAGTACCTATGTTATTACATACAGTGGTGTTATATAACGTGTAATATTATCATTCATTATAAGTTTAATGTATAAGTTTGAAAAATTTCTCATAGGACGAAACTACAGTATCTATATCTGTAGAGTAGGGAGGGTGAGTATAGGTCCACATTACTCAGGCCACATGTTACCCATTGTACACCCTCCCAAGGAGTTGTCCTACTAGGTCATCGTTCATCCTGTCCTTTTCAGGAAGGTGAACAGATCACTAGGAGACATCTCCTTTATATCGGACAGACATGTCTGACAGTTTCACATATCCTGCATATCCCCATAATATGGAGGTGTTTCCTTAGTTGACAGTGGCCAATCAGAAATCCTACTGTTAAGCGTAGATTTTACCTGGTATTCATTGGCGCCAGCTTCCCAGGGTCACCCAGGGTGATCCCTTGTCGAATTCATCAGGCCATAGGTGTCACTGGGTCTTAAAATTCTTAGTCCAGCGGCTTCCTTGGCTAAAGAGAAGGCAATGCGATTACCTTCACTCCTGTCGTGCCCTTCAACCCACCTCAGGATAAAGTTATTATTTACCGAGTCTTTGGCTAAATCTTGGTGGTACTCTAGTACTAGCCCTGAGGTAACACGTTATCTGTTCAAGGCTGATAGGGCTCATCTACTATCAGTGCAGATTGTTGTTTTTGCCAGAAATTCCTTTCCTGGTTTTTTTTGTGGCGATTGAGATATCAGCCAGTTCTGTTTGAACCACGCTGTTATTTTTTCCCAATTCCCACTTAATCCTTAGGCTTAGTGATCTGAAGTAAATTCCAGATCGTGAGCCTCCTTTGGTTTCTGAGCCGAAACTTCAGTTATTTCAGTTGGAAATAAAAGTGGTGAAAAACATATAAATTTCCATTTCTGATTTCTCACGATGATCTTCTACTATCAATTTATTTAGGGAAAAACATCAGATCGTCAGATTTTTTTGAATCACCATGGTTAGATAAGCCTCGAAAGATTTTGATTCGTGATACATATCCACTATTTTCCTACCAGTTCTCAGTTTCTATTAAATAACAACTCTATCACACTTCCAAATAGTTGAGCAGTGTATCTGAATTCAATTGACTGTGATGTAAAAATGCACCAAAAGTTACCAGTCAACAAATGATTTTACGATTTGTATAAAATTCCACAGTTGTATCTGCAGCAAACCCAACTAATAGAATGAATTTCATGTGCCCGAAGCATGATGTTGTTTTACTGCTATGAAGGGATTGCCTACATTACCAGCGTTGTGCAAAATGAACAGTCCATATGAAAACATTGTTCAATACAAAACCTTTTGTTTCTATAAAATCAAAATGAAAATTGATTTCTAATTTAGGTTCAACAAAACAGATATAGTCTGTTTCAGTTTCACGCCGATTATAGAAACTGTTTTTTGTTTTTTATGCATACCAGGAAGTTTTTTGAATATATTTTCAACCCATCAACCACTTTCAGTTATTTATTATTGTACTTCTTTTGGGTGCCTTGTGTTTTCGTTAATGTTTTTATTCTATTCAGATATTATTCAATTTCAAATGTTTGATTTATCACCAGACTTGCAACAAATGTTTTATACATATACATAGTCAAATAAACTATCTATCTATCAATCATATGGTACGTTCCTTTTGAACAATTGTTGAATAAATGTACCTCAATTGATAGATTTCACTAATTTTGTAATTTCATTTCTAGGAGAACTTGGATATCGGTGAAAACAACTCAGTAAGTTCAGTTTATTATGATTTTTAAAATACTTTCAGTTGATGAAGAAAACCATCAACTATCGTGTTTGGTATTAAAATTTCATTAGTTTTTTCATATGTTTCTGGTCTATCACCATCTCCACTTCCATCATGGCTTAATATAAATTCATCCCAACCTGAAATGGCATATTTGCTCTTGCTCAATTTGTCATTACAGATAAAGATACTCATAGTAATGAAAATTTATTGAAGACATTTCTGGATTACAAAAAACAATCCAAAAATGTTTGCATGTTGAAGATTTTCTCTCCACTTCAACTCATTTCAAAGACATTTTGATGAATTTTCAAGTCATTTTGCACATTTTGAACTGAACAATATGAATATACTCATATTTTTCAATCAGTCCACCAAATATATTCTGTAGATTGATGAAATTGATGAATATTGTTTTTTTTTTCAGGTAAATGGAGGAGCGTGAGTATAATCTTGATTGAAATCATATATCATATATCAGTCAGAAATTTAGAGATTCAAATGTAATCAGAATAACAAATATCCATTTCAAATGAATATTCTATATTTTATTCCACCTACACTTCTTCAAATTTTGACTTAATGTCGTCTTCCATCATGCACAGTACAGTTGAAAGTATCCATTCGAATCGCACAGACTACGTACATACGATTAGCGATTTTTTCAAATTGTTTCATGTCGGTGTTCGGCGATTTTCTGCTGTCAAAAAGAATGAATTGAAACATTTGCATCAAATTCAATTGAGTGATCAAAAATACATCAGATGTTGACAGTGGCATATGGTGATTGTAGTCTGAGTCAAAACAACACCATAATCATGCCTCAGCCATCGTATTCGATGGCTGAGATTAGGCCCCCTGCTACTTTTTTTTTTCCCAAAACTGAAGAAATGCATGAAAGTACGGCGTTTCGTGACCATTGAGGAGCTCAAGTACATATCAAAAAGTGCATACCAGAACTGTTTCGAAGATTGGGTGTATTATATCTGAGGGGAACTTCTTTGGAGGGAACAGAATAGCAATTGATGAATAAACACAAAAAAATTGAGAAAAATGGAAGTTAACTTCATTTTTCAATATATCTCTTATTCAAGAACTCATTGCCTCAAAAATCTCTTTCATATACTAGTTCATCATTCAACGGGTTTGAAAAATGGCCATTAAAAGGTTAGTTGAGAATCTAGTCTTAGGTATGAAGGTTTAGGTATGAAGGTATAGATTATGAGTGACGTTTGACTTCATACTCAACAAGAAATGAAAAAATTATTGATGATTTTCTCAATAGTCATGTCAAAAATGAAATTATCAATATAGTTTCATATCTAGTTTTTATCCAGAAATAATGGGAGACGTACATATGGATGAAAGTGTGGGTGGACGGCTAACTTATTTCCAATTGTTCACGAAATTATTGTTTCTATCAACAGAGGAGATGATGAAGACTTGTATCCTGAATCCGGGGACCACGAGTCGAGCGGGGAAATAGATGAAGGCATAGAAACAACAACGAGAGACGATTATGGTCATCCCCGTGAGTATTATCTATCAAAGTGAAGTGGTAATTCACTATTGGAGAGTAAACACAGTGAAATGAATATTTATTGAGATAGGGGGCTACAAAAACACTTTTGAAACAACATATTATATCGTAGCCTGAGCCCTCCTTGATTTTGAGGCATTAAGTGATTACAAGTCAAGAAATCTCTTGCCTGAGTTTCAATATTATTATTCAAAAAATATATTCTCAGTGTTGTCTGTGTGTGAGATCCTGGATTATGTTTTGAATAAATGGCATAGCACAAGAATCTGAGGTAGAATAGAATAGAACATTATTCATCATTAAAATTTGTATTGAAGGGGTTATATTTTTAGGAGTGATTTTATGTGTATGTATGTATGTATGTATACATACATACATCTGTATGTGGTACATACAGACATAAAACTTTATCAGACTAGTCAGAACAGAACATAAAACAACTGCGCTTATCTATAGTTACAGTGTCTATATACATGTTAGCAGTTCAGTAGACATATTGAAAATGTGCAACAACGGTGATCAGCTTGAATTAGTTGAAATTTTAAAATTTATATAATTGTACAAGTGAAATAAAGTAATTATAACTAATACCTAGAGTTGAAGAAGTTTTTCAGCACTTTTTGTAAGGTAGTCAAGTAATTCAGTAAAACTACATATGCTTCTAAATAGCTGAAGTGCTCTATTATAGCAGATGATACCCTGATTACTTGAGGATCCCTGACCAAAAGTCAGTTGAGAGTAGGGTAATCGCAGTTCATCATCATTTCGAGTGTGATGTTTATGTATCATGTTATTTTTGATATAGCTTGATTCAGTTTTCCTAATATCCATAATACAGTGAAGTGAATATATACAGTGAAGGCAATGTTAAGAGTGCCAGGTCAGTGAAGGTATTTCTACAGTATTCCCTGTGACGTAGACCTGCCATACATCTTATTATCCTGTTTTGAACACTTTCGTCATATGGGCGAAATTTCCCAAAAAGACCATCCCATGAGATATTGCAGACTGTATGAGTCCAAAATACGTCAGTTTGAGTACCTGCAATGAAGCAGTTCCCCGTAACTGTCTCATTACAAAACACAAACTACTAATTTTTGTGTCAAGATTTTCTACATTTACTTCCCAAGTCAGTTTTTGGTCAATTGTAAATCATGAGTATTCAATATGACTGACCTGCTAAATAGATTTATGATCAATTCTTACGAGGGGACTGTAATCATATGCAATTTTTTTGGCATTTTCTATCGAGAGTGGAAAGTCGCTTTTTGCTATTATTTGGCTTGTATCATCTGCATAAGTTATATTTTGTTTTATTGGTGACAATGATGCAAATACTATATCACTCACAAAGGTTATGCAAAATATCGGGGCCAGTGTTGATCCCTGTGGGACTTCCATTGTAACAAGGGCAGGTTCTGATTTTATCGAATCAATAACTACTACCTGCATGCTGTTTTTCAGATATTCACAGTTGAAGCTCTCTCTTTGAAGCTCGACATTTTCATGTGAATGTATTTCCATTGTGTCATCAACACATCTCACAAAAGTACTACTACTTTCCACCAAACAAAAAACAACTATGTGACAAAAATAGAGGAATTATCCCAACACCTGGGCTGAAGTCTCGGGGCTACAAAAAACGCGTTTTTTTTTCGTTCAATACTGGCTTTACTCATCAATGTTATACCCATCAACAGCCACACGTACATTCCAGCACCGTTTCAACATTCAATACCACTTATGTAAAACCTCAAAAACATTTCTTAGGGGTGAGCATTTTTCTGAAGTATGCTAACAGCCAGTAGTCACTGAGAGCCAAATCTGGCAAATACGGTGGATGTGAAAGCAATTTGAAGTTCAATTCATGTAGTTATGCCATTGTTTTGATTGACTTCTGACACAGTGCGTGGTCTTGATAGAACAAAATTATTTCTTCTGCCAAATGTGGTCGATTCTTTGCAATTTCAGCTTTCATACGCTCCAGTAACGCTTCATAATCTTCACTGGTGATGGTATTTTTCTTCTCAAGATAGTCGATGGATATTACACCACGCACATCCCAATATACCAAGGCTGTAACATTTCCAGCCGATTGTTGTGCTTTCGAGCGCTTTGGACGAGGTTCACCAGTTGCTCTGAACTCAGATGACGATCGTTTTGATTCCAGAGCGAAGTGATGGATACATGTTTCATCCAATGTCACATATCAAGGCAGAAATTTCGGTTTATTATGTCCAAACATGGCCAAACACTGCTCAGAAATATCAAGACGTTCTTGTTTTTGGTCAACAGTGAGCTCGCGCGGCACCCAAATTGTACAGTTTTCTCATTGTCAAGAGCTGATATCTTTACAATGTCAGCTTATGAGTAGAATATCATGAAATTTCAACAGCTTTTTTTTGAAAGTTAGTTCCAACTGAAAAAGCGGTGAACATAATAAGACTAGAGCCATGTATGTGACTCGAGACATACCAGCACATATTGTATATTACGTTTCAAATAAATGAACATTTCTGCGAGTTTCAATGCAGAAACTATTTTCATCCATACTGTGTATCTCATATAACCCACCCACATTTTTCAGGTATATATCGATTCGTTTTCACCGTCATGGAGCCATACCAGACAGACTATGAAGATAGAAACTCTCCACAGTTCCAGACACTTTCCAATCGCGTCAAACGTTCTATTGAATCAATCTTCGAACAGTTCCCTGGAGAACAGTTGGTGTCCGTAGTAAAAATTGAGTAAGTTCATTACTATTATCTTCCATTAGTATTGTTTATTCGTATTCATCAACAAAATAGTTGATAACGTTTCTTAGAGATTGTGAAAATTTCGGACTATTTTTTTTCATTTACAAAAACTGCAACAGTCCGTTGGCCTGTAAAATCACGTTTGGAGAAGCCATTGTATGGCGAAACACGTGTTTTTGTTAAACTGTTCAGTGAAAAATCTCGCAGTGAAGTGTTTTTTGAATATAATTACTAATTGCTCATGAGTTGAAAGCGACTATCCTGAGTGAAATCGAGTTATTTCAACTTAATGAACACGATCACTTGATTCACTTTTGGCGTGAAATGATTCTCGTAAAACACTTTTCCCAGATGAAAATTAATACACTGCCTCTCTAGGCGCATTTCGTCAACCTAGTAAACATCATCAAGGGATGGCCAAGACTACTAATTCTTGCAACAATGTCAATGTTTTTAAATGCATCTCGATGCCAATATTTTCATATGCTTACTGGCCTTGTCATAAAGGGACATTAAATTGATTCCTAGTAATTAATCATCATACCTATACTTGCATAATCGAGCGACCAAAGGACTTTTAGGAATAATACCTTTATCTGCGTTTATAGGTTTCACTCTGAATTTTTTGATTCCTGAACTTTTGAAGTCATCCAAAATCTTGTTATGTACTGGTCTCAACAATTTCAAACATTTCTCACTCATTCCATGATCGACACCCAGGGCATGTTGAATAACACTGGAATTCTCTGACCTATGAAATCGTATAAAACATGTACTACAGTGCCACCAAGATTTAGCCAAAGCCTTGGCGTTTAATAACATTATTCTGAAGTAAAGTTAATCGCATTGCCGACTCTTCAGCCAAATCAGCGGGTGCACTGAGAATTTTAGGACCTAGGGAGATCTACGGCCTGATGCCTTCGACAATTGCGGAACTAGCCAAACGTCACATCCATGCTCAATCCCTAAAGAGGTGGGATGGAGTCAAAGGATGCAGTCTTGCCAGAATCACCCCGGGCGACCTGGAAAGCTGGCGCCGAAGAAATATCTGGCGATGACCAGGAAGAACCTTTGCATAACAGTGAGATTTCTGACTGACCACTGTCAACTAAGGAAACACCGTCATATCATGGAGCTAGTGGACACACCTCTATGCGAGTGTCCGGAGTTATCGTCAATAAGAGAGTGTGTGTTCGGCGAATCTTGGCCTACACCTGTCGATATAAAGGAGATGTCTCTTAGTGACCTATCCATCTTCATGGAAAGGACAGGATGGACGATGACCTGGGAGGACAACTCCCCGTGAGGATGTACAATGGGTCACATGTGGCCTAAGTGCTGTGGGCCCATACTCCCCTATTACAGTCCGCTTAATTTGACCAACATACTTTCTATTGATATCCTCACTATTTATTTCTTGAGTCTGAGACTTTTCCTACTCCATCGTTCCGTAGGAAAAAACTGTACGTTTTGAGCCTTCGTTTTTTAATATTTTTCCCAATTAACTCATCCATTATGTTGAAGGATGCCTGCAACTTTCAGCTGCCTCCTTGATCTGTTGTGAGAGAAGTGTTCTCCATAAAAATCCAGCTAAATGTCGGAATATTTGATTGATAATATATGGTATGGAATATGCTTTTGAATTTGATGACTTCATCTACCAAACATACATGTGAACAACGTTTCTGGAAAGTTGTTCAAATATCCAGAAACGTTGTTCAAATTTTGTTTGACATTTTCATTTTCTGGCCAAGAACTATTAATCAGTCGAATTTGTTTTGTAGGAAACACCCAGACGACATATTCAAGGTCAGATTGACGGTGGACATAGATTCTGAAGGTTATTCGGATAAGGAAGCTATCAAGCGATCCTTGTATGAACCAATCCAGAACAATCACAGAATTGGAGATGTACTTACTGCCGATCCAGATGACTTGCGATTCACAGAATTTGGAGGTAAGCTGAAATAATTTTGACCTATTACAAAACGAAATCATATTGAGTTCATTGAAAGTTAACAGGTTTTATTGACCAGTGTCTGATATTCTATATATTTCAAATACTAGCAAATACAGAAGGTAAGGTTAGGTTAAGTCAATGGGTCATACATATTCACACTGGATCAAATAAACCCAGATTTCTAAGCAAACCGATTAGGTTATATGGTGAGTAATCTTCCAGGTCAGATGATAAGCGTGAGGCTCTGCCAATTTCTGAAAACCTGAATCGATCCGCAGCTTGGCAGGCACAAAATGTATGCTCTGCTGTTTCACCATTTCCGACAGTCTGAATCTCTGCATATTATGATTTAGTGACCTGTGGGAAGGCCTGTTAGACATCGCAGTTCATCCCTTTTGTAGTCAAAAAACTGTTTAATTTCAAGCTCCGAAGGGTGAGTTAACCCCTTGGAGTGAGCCAACCCTGGAAGATTTTGCCAGAAGTCCATGAATCTTCTTGCCTTCCAGGTGTTCAATGTTTGTTTGGCAAATTCTAAAGTGATGCCAAGGACAGGTTCTGGTCCAATAAAGCTGTTTGCAGCACCCTCAACACAGAAGGTACTCAGGGACCAGAAATAGTTTTCCTAATGTAATATTTCACTGCAATTTGTACGAGTCTTCACCAACCCCTAAAGACTCAGCAGTTTTCTTTTCGATTCTAAAATGTACTCTGTTGGTGTAGACAAACTGAAAGATACGATCAGATGTGAAAATTCTTGTATAATTGTTGACCGTCAATAAATGATAATATGGTGGAACTATGGATGGAACTGATTAATATTATTATCGCTTGACTAGACCATTATATAACAAAAAGTGTGAGAAACGTGTGAAAATTTGTAAAACTTCTTATGATTATTGGAGATCCGATAGTGAAATGTATCTGTTGTAGTGAAAATTTTATTGTCTGAATTTGTTCATTCAAGACGAGGCGAATGACCAAATTTACTGCCCTGTGACATAGGTAGAAGCATAGGTATAGGCAGTAGCGTAGGTGTTCAAAATAAGCTCTGACACGACTCAAATATCTTCAGCAAGTCTGCACAGAACTATGACCTGGGTAGGTAGGGAAGAGGAAGGTTAAATCTTCCTCTAGATTATGATCACTTGGTGATCGAAACACATGTCGAGGTGTTGAAATAATGGTTTGGTATTGGGATAAAACTCCAGTAATATCCACTAAATGAGTTCAAATACGTAACGGAACTGTCTTTCGGTCTTTCAAGTCACCTGACAAGATTGAGTCTCTGCTTTTGTATCTCTAGTTCGAACAAATCTTCGTTTGAACGTAAGCGTTTGCTGAAAGAGAGTTTGTTTGTTCTCCTCATGCAAATCCTGCGTCTGCTTCTCAATAATCTGTCAAAGCAGATTTCCACTTTCAAGGGGGCGATTGAGTCGCTTTATGGCTGCATCAGCTAGCCTCCTAGGTTTTTCAAAATCATGATGAGTTGGAGAACTGGAATCCTCTTGCCGAGTCTATCTTCTCTGTAATCTCAGAGTGAGATTCTTTAGTCCCTAAAGGTCCATAAAGCTCCGACGATTATCTAGGTACATAAGGTCTATAAAGGCATAGTCTAGAACTACTATGACAAATTCTTCACGACAATAGGACGCCCGGTATCTCGAAGGACTCGTTAGAGTCACTGATGGGCTTTGAGTCCTTCTGATAAGGAGCTATCCTTGGAGTATGATTCGACAAGGAGACCTCAAGGAGAATCATTTACTTGTAAACTCACCAGCAACTGCAGTCTGTTTCCAGAATAGATGTGATTTGTCCGACATTTTCACACAGGAAAGAAATCTGTTCTGGTAGAAAATTCTTCTGTCAATTCAAACCATCTGGTGATTTTGGCAGGAATCAACCTCATTTCTCATACAACCAAGAGGCTTTGGAAGCACTTGGTCCTCTACCAGCAATCTTCAAGCTGGTAATGAAGCAACGAGAAGATTTTCCTCCATAGAAATAATGAAAAAATTATCTGTTGTCTGGATTCCGGCCAGCAAGGTGATGAAGCTGCTGACACTATTGACAACGAAGGCGATACAAATGGTTTTATCGGGCCTGAACCTTTCATTGGCATCACTTTAGGTTTTGCCAAAAAGACAACTGGACTTATAAAAAATCCCATGTACCTGGAAAAATCCCTCAAGATTGTCCTTTTCTAAGATTCCGTCTGTCAGAAGACTGTGGTTTTGAAGATATGAAATACCAGCCCATAAAATATGTGCCAGCCCTGCCTCATGATATTTATGTGTAATCATTGTCATATATTTTCCTTAGTTGAATACTTTTTTATTTTTCAATAAAACTATTATTTTTTTCAGTTAATTTATTTGTTTATTTTTTATTTTATCAGCCACTGGTAGCATTTGCGAAACGAACGAATTACGATGTAATAGTGGACAATGTATCAGTGAAGAATTCAGATGTGATGGATTCAACGACTGTCCCGATAATTCCGATGAAGAAGGTTGCCCTACCGGTAGGTTTATCTGATTAAAATAATACCCTACGAAAAATTCTGTTCAAAATTGATAAGGTTCCCGAGAGTGTGAATTATTTTCAAGGGTACAGAATAAAAAAGCGGCCTTTTTTCCTTCAAGATTTTTCAGACGATCCATTTTATCTGACATTAGCCTGTCATATTTTAGATTTGAGTCAAGTGATATAAATCTAATACTATCGCAGTTAAATCTGTAGTGAATATCGAATAAAAAAAATAACTTTTTTCCAATATCTAGTAACCTGTGCTAGGTATCTGTCCTTATCAGTGTGTATTTGAGTATTGTCTTAATGCATTAGTTACTTGAAAATGGTCTAATAAACCGAAACTGGTCTAAATAAATAACAAAGTACCTAGGAATTAGACAAAAGTTATTTTATTCATTCTGTATTCAATATGAATTTCTACAAGATAAACAGGTTATCAATCGAACATGTTGAATCTGTAGTAATTATATATAGGATTCAGCTGCAAAGTCAATCTCAAAAATAAGTAGAGTTGAAAATGATAAAAAACAAAAGTTATGCACCATCAGACCTAAAATTATATCTGCCGCCCTAGTCAGAATCTGCGAAGAATCAATTTTTTTTCTACTCAATGAACCAAGTCAGGTTCATCGTATTGTTGTTTGTGTCTAGTTTGATCTCAATCTAGGACTATGTTGAATGTGTTTGGTACTAAATTTTTGCCATTTTTCACTCGATTCCATCTATATGATATGTTACTTTCATATTACTTTGAATTTAGCAAAATTTCACTAAGATTATGGTGATTACAGCCTTGGAAATGATTAATTACAAGTACAAAATAAAAAATACCAAAAGTACCAAGTACAAGAATATCAGATTTTGATTCGATCAATAAAACCAATGTCCTTCAGATACTAAACAATATTTGGCGATATGCAAGCTGTGTTTCGAAGAAATATGTTTTGTTGAACGTCCTGTTCCAAATGGGCCACAAAGGGAACTTTAGAAATTGATCTGAGGTGGTACTTGAACGTTTTCCAATGAACTTCGGGTTGAGGTACATTAAAAACGTATTCTAGCATGAAAACAGTCTTCATTTCAACCATTTCCAGAAATTCTTGCGCTTGCATTGTGAATCAATATCATGACGCAATAATCATTTCACAATATTTTGACAGTTTACTGTTAGGTTACCTTAAGTTTTGTTAGGTTCAAAGTGAGTAGGTCTATTCGACTCTCCACCGCAACCCGCAAGAGTCTATTGGCTTACACCTATTCACACTTGACCAAATAAACCCAGCTTCCTAACGAAGCCGATTAGTTTGTTTGGTGAGTGGTCTTTCAGGTCAGATGGTGGAAGTGCGGCTCTGCGGAACTCTATAAACCTGATTCGGTCTCCACCGGGGCAGGCTGCTGTTTCATCATTTTCCAAATTGACGCGACATACTCTGTCTTTCGACAGTCCGAGTCTCTGCATATGATGATTCAAATTACAGTGACCTGTAAGAGGCTTGGTAGACATCGTAGTTCATCCCTACTCTAGTCCAACAATTGTTTGGTATCAAGCATGGAAGGGTGAATAAACGCCTTGTGGTGAGCCAATCCTGGAATATTCTTCCAGAAGTGCATAAATCCTCTTGGCATCCAGGTATTCAATCTTTTTTTGGCAAATTCTAGAGCGATGCCAATGACAGGTTCTGGTCCGATGAAGCTGCTTGCTGCACCCCCTTTACAAGATAGTCAGCAGCCAGCCTCATTGCCTTCCAGGCCAGTATGGCCAGGAATCCAGACCAGTGACAATCTGTTGAGCCTTTCTATCGAGGAGAGTCGTTTTTGGCAATTTGCTACCAATTTAGACGTTGCACGGTAGGAACCTAGAGCTTCTAACGGGTCCGACAATATTTTTATTGACTTGTGTATGAGGTTGGATTATTCCAATCTCTCCACACATAATTCAATAGCGTAAATTTTCGCTTGAAATACATTCGCATAGGTTCCTAGGTGGGTTGATATCTCTGTCTTGGGTCTGCGACTGAAAACACCTACGACTACAAACACCAGAAGGTGTTTTCGATCCATCTGTGAACCAACAACTATCTGCTCTAAATATTTCAATATGCAGTCCATCTAGCCTCTCTCTCCAGAAAAATGTGGAGAGGAGGTAGATCTAGAAAGATCTTCATGGCCGCTGACGGCGTGGTACTGATGGCACCACTGATGGCCAGACAAGCCTGTCTCTCTAAGCCAAAGAGCTTTGCCTAGTCTGTTTTTGTAAAGCCTTCGGCCACCAAGCAGTTGCACCATAAGTGATCATTGGTCTGACAATCATCACATAAAAACAGTGGATTTGTTCGGGACCTAAAGCCCAAGTTTTACCGCAAATCCTTCGACATATCCATAGGGACAGTCTGGCTTTGTGTGCAACTGAAAAAGCTGGAAATATGCCATCCTCTCCATGGGATTGGAATTCACTGTTCAGTTATTGGTTGTGTGCAATAAATTGAATCATATGGAGACGATATTCATGGTTGTGCATCATCCTGCACAATCATGAGCACAGATGTATAATGTTTTCCGAAAACATATTATCAATTTCCTGGACCATGCTGAAGAACATAGAACTATTTTGTGTGTGAATTGCTGTGGGTGATCGTTTGGTATCCAGATGATATGTTGATGATTTGCGCGTCATTTCTTTGATTTGATGAGTACAATTAATCGGACAACCTTTCAATATTGTCTGAAAATGTAAATTATATCGCACAAACCGAAAAATTGCGCATTAATAGTACCCTTCTATGGACAGCTTTGAGCTAAACATGTCCGATGGTGCATAATAAGTATATTAGCGGTAATTCATCAAACGTAACACATTCACTTTGTTATTCAAACACTCTCGGGGAAAATTTTCAGCGAATTTTCGCATGGGTTTCTTGAAAATTCATTTCTCGTAAGTGGAATGTAGAACCTTTACCAAAAATCATCAAACCTTCTTGAAGTATACAAAGTATCACAAAACCCTGCAAAATGTTATGTCAAATCACTAGGACCCATTGTTGAACCGGATGCGCCAGCTCCTGAACCGATCCCGACTACTGAAGCAGCTACAACGACAACCACCACAACCACAGAAGCTCCGAGAGAAACCACTCCAACAACAACTCCACCAACAACATTACCAACTTCTCCCCCAACTACCACTACCACCACCATTACTACTACCCCTACCACTGAACGGATCACAACTGAAGAAACAATCCCTGAAGGTAGCGGTGCAGTAGATTGTAGAGCAGACGATGCGGTTCAATGTGAAGACGGATCCAGAGTCATCTGCTCTGACCAAATTTGCGACGGCTCTTTCGATTGCGATGATGGTGGAGATGAACGCGGCTGCCAAGGGGGTATTGTTGCACAGTGTTTACTGCTAACAGCTTGGTGGTGTGGGGTTTAGCACAAAATCATTCGCTAACACGAACACTGACTTATTGGTGGTGGGCTGTTTGAATTTTCAGGTCTTGTTTACCATTCCACAGGTGTTGGTTCCGTCAGCCATGTGCCATCGAGTGTAAATAACGAAGATGCCTCTATTTCTAACAAGTTCGCACTGACTCAAGCCTATCATGAAACCTAACCTTATTTGTATGTCATGAATGTAACAGTTGCTCACTAGTTGAGGTTAAAATAGAGAAGATTTCTTATGTAATTTTTTTCGTCATTTTCAGCTCAGCAAATAATCGAGTGTTCATAATGTTTGACGACTGTGCATAATAATATTATTAATATGTTATATAACTAAACGAACTCACCTTTTTGTGGCTCACATAACTAGAAAGTGTCATGGCTCAAAAGTTCAAAAATGAGTGTTGTATAGGGTTTATGACAGAGACATCCAAACTTTGACAATTGATAACGCCCATCTTGTTGAAGCTACATCTGTCAAATTAGTTGTCATTTATTCATTTCATTTTTGCAAATCAGTATAGACGGATATAGCATTCAACAACATGTGCAAATAATGAAATTATTTTATCGAAATGTGTGTTCTATTTGGACACCGTACCGCGCGCTTCACCCATTTCATGGCCGACCTAATCATTCTGTCAAGAGGACGAAACGACGAAACGCCAAATCTTCAGAAAACATCGCTGCTGTCTGTGAGAGCGTGCAGGAGAATCAAAGGCAGTCGAATTCGCGTCGTTCTTAAGACCCCGGTCTTTCGCAGACCACATCTTGGCAAGTTTTGCGGCGTCACTCAGGCACTGGTACAAAATTCAGCTGACCCAGGAACTGAAGGTAAACGACTATAGACAAGGACTATAGAAAGGGCTCTGGAGCAGTTGGAAACTGACTCTAATTTTCATCGGAAAATCATCTTCAGCGATGAGGCCCATTTCTGGATGAATGAGTACATAAACAAACAGAATTGTCGAACTTAGAACGATACCAATCCACATGAGATCCAAGAGCGTTCAATGCATCGCGAAAAAGTCTCTGTTTAGTGTGGATTTTGGGCTAGCGACGTTCTCCATGCCTTCAATGTCAACGGCGAGCACTATAGGTCAATGATCACTAACATTTTTGGCTTGAATTGGATGATCTGGATACCAACACCATGTGATTTCAACAGGATGGCGCTATGTGCCACAGAGATCATGCCACATTGAATATTCTGCATGTGTGAGTGATGTGAACTGGCCACCGTGGTTGTGAGATATGACCCCGTTAGACTTTTTTTTGTGGGGTTTTCTTCAGTGGCAGGCTTATGCAAATGAGCCATAAATCCATGGTGAGTTGGAAGTTTCGGATGCGTTCCACACAGATAAGCCGTGGCGGAAATTTGAACGATGTTACATTCCACACATAATGGTACCAACATGAGAGTTATGTGAATTTTCCTGTTAAATCCAATTGCATTTAGCGTGTTTGATCGTTCAATCTCTGAACCAAACAGGATTCCGTGTTGATGATGAAACGTTCATTTCATTTTAAATCACTTCATTTTTTAAATATCCATCGATGCATTCATTTACATATCTCAGGGGCATACACTACTAAAAACTATCATTTTTTTGTAACACACTCAAACATTGTATAAGGTGTTGATGATAATGAAATCGATTTCAAAAATATACCAAATCAAATCAAGAGTATTATCTGTCATTCATTTTGAACAAAGTGTGGAAATATTTCTGAAATTCATTTCATGAACCTTAAGTGTGGAGCTTATTACTGTAAATATCAGCTTTCCTGGTGGATTTAGTCCCATCCGTTTTCTAACTTTTCAATGTTTTTTCAGAATGTCGTGTGGGAGAATTCAAATGTGACATCAGCAGATGCATTCCTCTCAGCCAGCGTTGCGATGGAGTACCAAATTGTTCAGATAATACCGACGAACATAACTGTGTGACGGGTAGGTTATTGTTCGTAATATTAATTCGAAAAAAAAATAGTTCCTAAAAACAACTTTTTGATCTGTATCCGCAAAACAAACGGATATCATCACAATGACGTTTCCATAATGCAATTCATTTGGGCGATGAGTCTCCATTTCTGACGTTATATGAACATAACATAACTTGCATCATATTTACGTCTCGAAAAATACGTATACAGGGGTGCCTAAAAGTCCGGAATAAAATTAATATCTTTTTAACCAGTATTTTAGGAAAAAAACGCTGAAACACGTCAGTTGATTTCACGTTGTACGCATTTTTGGCAATAAAATGAAATATTTTTTTTTCAACCCCTTAGCTGGAACCCTCCCCAACTTTTTTTTTCAAATTCAAACCTATGTCGTGTATGGGCTCATTGAAAAGCTCGTAAAAAATGGAATCTGACCAAACCCTTCATTTTTTTTACTCGTGCGGTTACCACGAAATGAGAAAAAACCCTTTCAAAACCAAAAAAGTTAGAAATACCTACTTAGTGCTATCTACGTGTGAATTAACGATGCAAAAAACAAATGAGTGGTGATAATGTACATTGCTCAACGTTTGCTAAGGATCACCAGTAGGTACCTACTTTCTAAAAGTTTACAAATTTTAAGAACAGACCAACCGGGCCAGGCACCACAACAAATTTTATTGATTTATGTGTAAAACTGATAACGTAATGTAGCATCAACATTCTGTGGATTTTATTTTTTCACCAAAAACTTACATATAAAATCAGTTCCATCCCAAGCAACTGTGGACCAGTGTACCTCAAAAAGAGAAAAAAGTTGTTGCATTTTTTGTACCAAAATGAATGCCCTGTTAAGAACTATTGTTTTGACTCAGTTTTGAAATTGTGGCATTTCTGGGTGAAATTGAAATTGCATGTATCTTCAGTTTATTAATTGGGTACCTTCAAAGTGTTCTTTTTTAATTTGCTAAACAAAAATGGTATTGTCCGAGAGGCAGCGTATGGAAATATTGATATTGTTGGGATGTGGGAATAGAATGCGGAGTCAAAGTGAGGTGTGTACTTTATTTAATGCAAAATATCCGGAAAATCACATTTCCCAGGCTACTGTGAGTAAGATCTTACACAAATTTGAAGAACATGGTACAGTGAAGGACTTGCCCAGAAGTGGCCGGCCACATGTTTTGGACGAAGATCAAAAATTGGACATTGCCGTTATCTCTGCAGGAAAATCCACATTTGTCAACGGTTTCATTAACCCAAAACAATCCTGCGTCTAGACGTACGATTGGGAGGTTTTTGAAAACAGAAAAATACCACCCATATAAGGTGTCTTGTCCAAGAGCTCTTGGAAGATGACTGTGACAGGCGTTTGCAATTTTGTGAGGAAATAATGAGGCGATGTGACGAGAATAATGGGTTTCCACTCAACATACTCTTTTCGGACGAAGCTACTTTTCATTTACATGGAGTAGTTAACAGGCACGACTATCGATTCTGGAGTCAGGAAAACCCACACCGGATATGCGAAGCTCGTTGGCATCATCAACAACGTAATACAAGGGCCTTACTTCTTTGAGGGAAACCTTACAGCTGTACGCTACTTAGACTTTTTACGCTTTGAATTAGTCCCTGCTTTAGCTGTTATGTTTTCCAATGAAGCAGATCCAGATATCCCCACTGAAACACTTTGGTTCCAACAGAACGGCGCTCCTCCACATTTTGGTATTAATGTCAAAGAATATCTTGATGACATATTTGCAGGACGCTGGATTGGACGACGTGGTAAAATTGAATGGCCGCCAAGATCCCCAGACTTAACGCCATTAGATTATTTTTATTGGGGATATATGAAAGCTTTATCAAAATAGTACGGCTAATATTGAAGATCTAAAAAGCAGAATTAGAGTGGAATCACATAACATACCGGCTGAGGCCATTCGGAATTCCATAGACGGGTTTTACCATCGCCTAGGAGCCTGCCAAGTAGAAAGGCCAATTTCAGCACCTGTTACGTTAATTCACCCGTAGATAGCACTAAGTTAGGTATTTGTAACGTTTCAAAAGAGTTTTTTCTCATTTCGTTGTAACCACAAGAAAAATAAAGGGTATGGTCAGAATTCATATTTACGAGCTTTTCAAGAACCTATACACGACATAGGTTTGCATTTGAAAAAAAAAGTTGGGGAGGGTTGCAGCTAAGGGGTTGAAAAAAAATTAATTTCATTGCCAAAAAATGCGTACAACGTGAAATCAACTGACTTGTTTCAGTGTTTTTTTCCTAAAATACTGGTTAGAAAGATATTGATTTCATTCCGGACTTTTGCGCACCCCTGTATAATATGATGTAAATTTTGGGTGAAGTGAACATATGTCATTAACTTTCATCACTATTTCATACTATCTGGTATCTGTAGAGTAGGGAGCGTGAGTGCAGACTCACAGCACTTAGGCCACACGTGACCCATTGGACATCCTCCCAAAGAGTCGCCTCATAGGTCATCGTCCATCCTGTCCTTTCTAGGAAGGTGAACAGGTTACTAGGAAACATCTCCTTTATATTGGCAGATGTAGGCCAAGACTCGCCGAACACACACTCTCTTTGGCAACCTTGAGGTGTCTCACGGTAGCCTCCGCGAAGGTTTTGGAAGGTGCAGTGATATTACTATCGTTGCGCGGCTCCTTCAACCTTCTTGGGGTTCTCTCCGTGGAGGTGCATAGGTGAGGGAGCTTTGCTGCAGAGGCAGCCGGTTCCTTGCCTTCATTCAAGGCGGAGATCTTGACGCCCGCCGCAGGAAGTGCTCTTGCTGTTGAAGGTGATCTGTGTTCTGCTATGTCCAGCCTTATTCCAAGCGGTAGATTGGGGTGGACATTTCTGTTCATCCCCAGGAAGAGTTGGTCACCTCTGGCAGAGCCCTGCATTACCAGAGGTAGGCTGATTACAATGAGGTTTCGCCCAGTTCCCAAGGGGCTCATTCGTGACCGCATATCCCCCTGTGGCCATTCAGCTATCGGCACGATTCCTTACACATTAGCTTCGGTAGGCTGGTCCACGGTGGCATGTTTTGCAAAGGCTTTTGGGGAGTTTTAGTTCCCCTCACCCTACTTATTTCTGCCTTTGACCAGGAGTCCGGCAACCCCGTCCGTGAGGCTTCCCGGACAGGGCCTCCAGTCCCCTGGCCGTTTCCCTTTCCGCCACCTGGGGACGCGCCCGATAGGTCGCCCAACCCACGGGTATTTCATATTATATTATATTTATATTAGACCTATACAACTTTGCATGCGAGTATCAAATACATTTGATGGTTGTTTATAATCTTCAAAACGCACTAACTATTTAGGAGATTTGCGAAATGAAAAACGAAATGTCACGTTCAAAACTGATTTAAAGAATCATATACTGTCATATAAACTGGCGACATCTTCCGGAACAGAGCTGATATACCAGCTTCAGTATTGATCGAGAGAAAAGATCACTTCCATTCAAATATTCACAGCTTCGTTGCTATGAAAGAGTTTTCTTTCTCTGAAAGGTTTTTGCCTTACTTGAAACCGATATTTTGAAGAACTTTCAGAACCGTTTATAAATTATTACCAATGAAATGTCATTATGAATTCAATTGCTCATCAATTATGGAATCAAAAAATGTATCTCGAAATTGAACGGCACCTTTATTATTTTCAGAATGTACTGACCAGCAGTTCAGATGCGATGGAGATAGATGTCTGCCGAACGAATTAAAATGCAATGGAGTCAGGGATTGCCAGGATAATGAGGACGAAAGAGATTGTCAAGGTAGGTGAAGTGATTTACAAGAAAGCCTGTAGCTTTCGAAACAATATAAACAAATGAAGTGTAAATATAGGAAGTGTATTGAAATTTCAGCGACTGAGACTACCCTAATCATAAAAACACGTGTGATTTGGAAATCAAATTGAATTAACATTATATAATTATAGCAGAAAGGAGACAGTTTGGGGAAAAACGAGTGGATCTACTATCTAACACTAGAGGAGGTCCTGCGGTATAAGAGATTCTTTTGTTTTCGCACATGACACTCGCTCTGGGTCTCCGATAATATGGCCCGCATATGACAGTCGCTAAGGGGGCGAAAATGATGAAATATTGAGTCAAACTCATGCGTAATTGAGTATATTGCTTTGAAAATCGGTCTGAAGTATGACACTTGCGCAGAGCCCCGTGGTTGAGGGACTGTTTCGTATTCGCATACGACACTCGCCCAGGGCCCCGTATATGTTAATCGCCCAGGGCCCTGCATATGACACTCGCCCAGGCCCTGCATATGACACTTCCAGGGCCACTTTGAAAATCGGTCTTGAATATGACACTTCCCCAAGACCCCACAATAGGAAAATTGGTTCGTTATCGTATATGTCACTTTCCCTGGGACCCGCATATGATACTCGTCCAGGGCCACCTCCACTTGGGAGGCAAAAATCAAAAAATATCGCATTTGAATATATGGTTTTGAAAATCTGTCTGAAATATGAAACTCGCCCATAGACCTCGCGATAGGTAGATTTGTTTGTCATCACATATGACACTCGCCTAGGGCCCCGCATATGGCAGTCGCCCAAGGATCCATATACGACACTCGCCCAGGGCTTCAATAATGTGACCTGCATACGACACACGCCCATGGCCACCTTTGCTTGCAGAGCGAAAAAGAAATATCGAGTTGGAGTCATACGCGTTTGAGTATATTGCTTTGAAAATCGGTCTAAAATGTGACACTTGCCAGTGCCTCGCCCAGGACTTTGCATATGATTTTCTCCAAGGGCCATCTATGTTTGGGAGATGAAAATAAAAAAATATCAAGTAAGTCCCATGTACATTTGAGTATATGCATTTGAAAGTCGGTTTGAAATATGACACTCGCCAAAGGAACCGCGATAGGAAGATTCGTTTGCCATCGCAGATGAGACTCGCTTAGGGCCCCGCATATGATAATCGCCCAGAGCTCCGCCAAGTCCACTTCTACTTGAGGGGCGGAAGTTATAAAATACCTACATAACGATACTTTATTTTTTTGAAAATGAATTCAGTCACCAAATTATTGCTGTTGAAGTTTAGCTCAGCAATATATTTTGGTTAGTGATCAAAATCTACCTTTGATGCCTTAACTTGATTGTTCTGTCGACTTAAAGATGGCGCTTAATGGTGAAAGGCGAGAAGTTACACATTCTTTGAATAACTATATAACCATTGCATTCTTGCTGATTCTCAGTTTCTATGAGTGTTGACATTTGATGTTTGCCAGGAGTATAACAGTTGTTTCAAACTCAATTCATATCTTTTAGTTTCAGTGTTTGAAACTCACATTTTCTGCCACAACACATTTCCGTGAACATGGAGAAAGTTTCTCCAGGATTGGCTTTTCTTAAATTCATAACCACCTCACATTTAGAATCAAATTTTAATAAATTGATGGATGTAGCCGTTACTTCGTGGATGAAGTTGATCATTTCGCGTCAATTATATAGATAAATTGTCCCTTTCATTGTGACAAACTTCATACCAATGTCTTATGGATATTACCAGTTGTTATTATGTTAATAATAAAGGGTCATTATTTACTTGGCGGAGTTTAGCATAGCTATTATTCCACTAAATCAGAATTTGAAATGAATCCAACAGAAGTGTGACTCTAGCGTGAAATATATCTGTAGAACTAATAATATTCCACATGTACTAATGCGATACTTTACAGCCAGGAATTATTTTACTGTTTTTCTATTTTACACCTTTCAAGCCATGCATGAATGTAGTATTTCTTGTAACTGAGTTTTTTACATATTCTGAGATTCCGTATTAGGCCGGCTACTCACGTACAGTTTTGAATGACAGTTAGGAACTGACAGTTGAAACTGTATGTGTGATAGTTATAAATTGACAGTTAAAACTGTACGTGTCTGGCTATACAGTTCAACTGGCATTGTACATACTTCTCAGTTCAGTTTGTATCGACAGCTCGGGCCAAACGTCCCCTGAATCCCATTACGCAAGATAAGGTGCCGTTTGTTTCTGCCAAATGACGGTATCTTGCGAAACCAACGAAAGTAATTTTTGGTACACTGTTTGCGTCATCCACAAATAATCTGAAGGTTCTTCCCTTGAATCTTTTAATAAATTTATGTGGGAAGGTGCATTCCATTTTTGTAGCCATTCATTGTACCACATTGCAAAAAGTGAACCTAGCGCGGCCATATCGTCGTCCCTATTTAAATCCATGGAAAAACTGAAGGAATGAACAACTCAACTGCACTTCTATGTACATCTCCGTTCATAGTTAAAACTGTCGGTTTTAACTGTACAGTTAAAACTGTACGTGAGTGGCCGGCCTTACACTTCAATACTCGGGCTATTATCTCATTTTCAATGCTCTATATTATAACCCTTCAGGTTTGCGTCACTTCAAAAATGAAATTATTCACTTTTATAGCTTTTTTCCAATGCATTTCCAATGCATATTTTCCCCTTCTTTTGGTTTTGATGAGAACAAATTTTGTTACCGTGGTTTGTCCACTACGTGGAGAATTTTGCGAAAGGATTTGGGTGTAAAACCTTATAAGATACAGGTGGTGCGAGAATTGAAGCCACACGACCTTTCACAGCGTCTAACATTTGGTGAATGGGCGCTGGTAAAGTTGGAGGAAGATCCACATTTTTATCGAAAAATTGTGTTCAGCGACGAGGCTCATTTCTGGGTGAATGGATACGTGAACAAGCAAAATTGCCGCATCTGGAGTGAAGACAAGCCACAAGCATTGCAAGAGCTACCGATGCATCCTGAAAAAGTCACTGTTTGGTGTGGATTGAGGGTCGGTGGCATAATCGGGCCGTACTTCTTCAACGACGAAAATGTCCGGAACGTTACTGTACGAGCGCTACCGTGTGATGATTGACGACTTTTTGTTGTCCAAAATGGAATAATTGGACATGCCTGACATGTGGTTTCAAAAAGACGGTACCACATGCCACATAGCACGCGAAACAATGGCCCAATTAAGAGCCGCCTTCGGTGAACAGTTTATCTCACGGTTGGGGCCCGTCGATTGGCCGTCTAGATCGTGGGATTTAACGCCTTTAGATTTTTTTCTTGGGGGGTCATGTTGAGGCTCATATCTACAGGGATAAACCAGCAACGACTGACGCTCTGGAAACCGATAGTGCAAAGTATTTATATGTGAAGTACCGGTCGATATGTTAGAGAGAGTGTACCAAAAATCTATCTACGTATATCTATCTTATCTTTCGATCTCAAACTGTTTGGAAAAACAGTAGGTAGGGCAGTTAAGAGTGAGTCTAGATCGAGTGAGTCAATTCGAACCTCCACTGCAATCCGTGAGAGTTTATTATGGCTTGCTTCTTTTCAAACTCGACTCAATGAATACTGTTGCTCAACGGAGCCGATTACTCTTTCTAGGTCAGTTGGCAGACAGTGGAACTTTGGTAAATGCTGAAAAGCTGATCTGGTCAGCTGGTGAAATTCTTTGTGAATAAATGTTCACATCAAACTTGTCAGAAATTTGGACATTTTCCTCAATCTGGTGAGGACCTGATTGATGGTCAGTCTGTGGTTTTGATCACCTCAGGGGGCGTGTATTCTTTTATACCAGAATATACAGGTCTGTAATTGACCTCTTGACCAATTTCTGAAATATCTTCTACGGCAGCCATAGTGGCATATTGAAGAGAATTAAAGGTTCCCACCTCGATGAATGTAAGTATCTTTTTGGCAACACTGTTTTTGACAGTGAATCGTGTCTTGTGCCATTGTCAAACTTTTTCAGTTTCGACCATGAGTCAAAATTCATGCTCGATGAAGAAAGTGCATCGTGCACCCAGTTTACATTATTGGACATTGAACCACCAACACGCATACGTAGAAAGGACCGAAGAAAATATTACGGCTGTATCCGCCAGTGTTCGTGGTGACCGTAAACTGTCGATTCGCCGCCGTTCGCAGCTATTGAGCCTTTGTTAATCCACTACGTGGAGAATTTTGCGAAAGGATTTGGGTTTAAAACCTTATAAGATACAGGTGGTGCAAGAATTGAAGCCACACGACCTTTTACAGCGTCTGATATTTGGTGAATGGGCGCTGGTAAAGTTGGAGGAAGATCCACATTTTTATCGAAAAATTGTGTTCAGCGACGAGGCTCATTTCTGGTTGAATGGATACGTTAACAAGCAAAATTGCCGCATCTGGAGTGAAGACCAGCCACAAGCATTGCAAGAGCTACCGATGCATCCCGAAAAAGTCACTGTTTGGTGTGGATTGAGGGTCGGTGGCATAATCGGGCCGTACTTCTTCAACGACGAAAATGTCCGGAACGTTACTGTACGAGCGCTACCGTGTGATGATTGACGACTTTTTGTTGTCCAAAATGGAATAATTGGACATGCCTGACATGTGGTTTCAAAAAGACGGTACCACATGCCACATAGCACGCGAAACAATGGCCCAATTAAGAGCCGCCTTCGGTGAACAGTTTATCTCACGGTTGGGGCCCGTCGATTGGCCGTCTAGATCGTGGGATTTAACGCCTTTAGATTTTTTTCTTGGGGGGTCATGTTGAGGCTCATATCTACAGGGATAAACCAGCAACGACTGACGCTCTGGAAACCGATAGTGCAAAGTATTTATATGTGAAGTACCGGTCGATATGTTAGAGAGAGTGTACCAAAATTGGATCTTGCGCATGGGTTATCTAAAGCGGAGTCGTGGACAACATTTACATGGAATCATCTTCAAACATTAAATTATATTG